CTCTGTCTTCCCTCCTTGCTCATGACTCCGTGTTAAAGAACCAGACGTGACCATCAGAAACTTAGATGTCGTCTTTGATGAAGCTAAGAGGTTCAGAAGAGAAAACAGAAGAAATTATGAAAGAAATAACACAAGAAAATCTCCAGGCAAAGGACGGGAGTGCAGAGGGACAGGGCTGGCCAGCACGTGGCATCAGAGCGGACCCCGAGGCCGAGGTCACAGCAGCTCAGATGAAGATTCTGAGGTCCGGGGCTCAGGAGTCGCACCCAGAAGGTTGCCGGCCAGCAGGGTCAGGTTCGGTGGCGGTGACGCCGGAGGCCACAGGCAGAGGAGTCCTGCTGCTGGTGTCCTGCGTGGGTGACCGTGTGCCCGGGATGGACACGTGCAGACGTGGCGAGTCCTCTCGAGAGCTCTACCTCCCAGCCACCGTTCTGAGGAAGCCCGGGAAGATGTGCTCCTCAAACCGCAGGGCTAAGCTGAGGGGATGGACGCCATTGGCCTCAGGGAGCAGGTGCTCCACACACCCCTGGGGAGCACCAAACCTGGGGGACGGTGAAGGGAGGCCCGGCTCGTGGCCTGGGCGCCACCTGGTGGGCAGTCGCAGCAGGCATGGCGGGCTCGGGGAGCGCCGTGGAACCCCTGGGCCACCGTTGGCTGGACCGTGTGAAACACAAACCGTAAGGAGAGCTGTCGTAGGATGTGTGACCGTGTAGCCGTGGGTACCCGCCCCGCCCCCAGCGCTGGCACCGCCACCACCAGGCTCTGCACACGTACACATGGGCACGACAAGTGTAGTCACAAGGCCTGCACAGAACAGCACACCGCAAAGCCACACACATGGAAACAGCACCCCAAAGTTACAGACAGCAATACGAAATCTACACACAACACGACAAAATCTCACACGTAGAAGCATATCGAGTCTGCATACAGCAGCCGTAAACACGGCTGACACACAAACAACAAGAACTAAGCAAATATAAAAAGTCAATTGGTTTTAGAAAGATTGTTCTAGAAAAGAATAAACTTTAGCGTTTACTATCAAGCAGTTTATTGAGCCCTCAACATTTTCACAGTCATAAGATAATAAATGCTGATTTAACCAAAACGGTCTTGAGGAATAAGGGGAGAAAGCTGACCGTTCATTACTGAATATACAACACCCAAGGCTGAGAATCAGGATCCCGGGGGGAGCCTGGTGTTCCGAGATGTGGAAGGGAACCACATGAGGGTGAGGAGGAGACACTGGGTCTCTAACGTCACCAGACGGCACTTTCCCAAACTGGACATCCACTTTGTGTTGTATTGCGACCCTGTGAGCGAGTGACGTCCAGGTCCCATGGACTCCTGCCTGTGGCCTCTCCACGGAGCCACTGCATCTCATACGTGGTCTTCCTGTTTTCCTGCTGCCTTATGTTCCCAGCATCCACTTAATACACAGTCTTAGCCATTGATCCCAAAGGAAGGGCGACTCATCTCACGTCCACAGAAAAACCTGTACGCAGCTGTTCAGAGCGGCTCTATTTGCAGTAGGAAAAACGCGGAGAAAGCCATGTCTTTAGGGGGTGACTGGCTCAGCCAACTACAATACACTTGTGCTGTGGAGTATTATACAGCGATGAAAAGGAGTGAACCATGATGCGTGCAGCAACCTGAACGGATCTCAGGCACGTTCTGCCGAGTGGGAAAAAAGCCCGTCTCCAGAGGTCACATTCTGTGTGATTCCATTTACGTGCCATTCTTGAAATGACATCATTATAGAGACGGTGGGGTGTATAGGGGGCGACTAAAGGGAACACATGAGCATGCTCTCCTCAGAGATGGACCAGCCTTGAGGTCTCCACGAATTTTCTTGGTCACGGTGGTACTTGCATGACTCCACACCTGTGATACGATGACATAGAACTACACGCGTGCGCGTTCCAAGGTCCGTTTCCTGGTTTTGATAGTGTGCTGTAGTTACATAAGAGTTTTGAAATTATGCATACTTATGTAAGATGCAAGCCTTGGGGAAAACTGAGTGAAGAATGCATGGGATCTCTCTGTGCTATTTTTGAAATTTCCTGTGAATCTCTAGTATTTCAAAACTTAAAACAACAGCCAAAAAAATAATACGTGTGTGGCTCACCTGGCATTTCTCTTAGAGAGTGCTGCTTTGGACACCAAAAAGGCTCTGGAAAGTCATCCAGGGCAGCAGTAGATGCCCGGGACATCAGCCCTCACTGCCCCTTCATCTGCCCCCTCCACGCAAGTGGGCAGGGGACAGCCAGGGCAGCCCCAGGCAGGTTAACAAACAAGGTAAGCTTCATTTCACACTTACATCAACCATCTCCCTGAAAACGCATTTTCCTTGGAGTTATTTTTAGCTACCTGTGTTTTAAAATTGTGAAGTTTTCATTTTCCAGTGTTTCCAAGCTTGACTACTACTTCTGAATCCCAGCCTTTGCAGATCACATGAAAAAACAATCTTTTACCATGTCACGGCCATCAGGATGGCTACTGTAAAAAAGAAGAAATGACACGTGTTGGCGACCATGTGGAGAAATCGGTGCTCTTGCAGTGTTGGCAAGAATGTTAATGTTGCCGCTGCCTGAGAAACAGTATGGAGGTTCCTCAAAAGGTTAGACGTAGAATTACCATGTGATCCAGCATGCGCCCAGACATGGGGAGCAGAGTTTTAAAGAGGTGTTTGCACGCCCACGTGCAGAGCAGCATCATTCACAACAGCCGAGAGACAGAAACGACCCAGGTGTCCGTGGACAGGTGAACAGATAAGCAACGTGGAGCGTCCACACAGTGGAATGTCACTCAGCCTCAAGAAGGAAGGACGTCCTGACCTGCAGCATGAGGGAACCTGGAGCACGTTGTGCTCAGTGGAATAGCCGGTCACAAAGACAATGTGACTCCGCCTCCGTGGGGGGTTAGAGCAGTCAAATTCAAATTACATAGGCTCCTCACAGAAGGTTCTGTGCACGTTCTGCAGGCAGGTGACCCGCGTCTCTCTCTCCACGTACCCGTTTTCCTGGGGGCTGAGTGAGCCGGTCTCGATGCGCGGCAGGCTGGAGAGCTCTGAGTGGCTGGTGTTGTGAAAACACTTTTTATAGAAAATTCGTGGAGACCTCGAGATAGTCGGATGAGGTTTCTGGGCTTTCCGAGCTGAGGGTGGCATCTTCTGCTTTGCAGGTCTGGGTGTTGACTGTTCGCGGTGTAGACAGGAACCTGGTTCCCTTATCGCCTTGCCTGTGGGCTGGGCCATCGCGGAGGGATGGCTGGAGGGATGGCGTGGGCTTGGCCCTCGCCCCTCCCCTCCCCCCACCCCATGCACAGCTGCGATTGGATGCAGTGGGGCCCGCCTGCCTGCCAGGGGAGTCAGTGCCTGTTGTTCTAGATCTTTCCCCTTTCGTTGAATGCATGGGTTTTTTGGGGTGGCTGAAGCGTTCGCCTACCTCTTCCCAGAAGCGGAAGACGAGGACATGCTTGTCTGGCCAAGTCTGGGTCCTGCCGGCGTGCCCCGGACTGCCCCTCATCCCGCAGCGGTTTGCGGAAGGGCCTGAGGGGGCTCATCCTCGTCCTGCCTCCCGGCCCTTCAGCATAGCCTGGCGGTGGTGGGTGTCCTGGGAATGCCTGGGCAAGAGGGATGTTGTCTTGTTCGACCTGCTGAAGTGTTCTCGAGGGTGCCAGAACTTTCCGGAGAAGCTGCTCTTGCTGTAATAGCATTAGCAGTTTGCAAGACTCCTTGACCTGCCTAGATCTTCTCTTTAACCTTTCTTTCAAAACGTGTAACTGGAAACCTTTAGTGTCCAGGGAGAGCAGGCAGGAGCCCTGTGAAAGCGAGGACGGGCAGTGTTGCCGCCCCCTCCCCCCAGGAGGCCGCGAAGGAGAGGAAGGACCCCAGCCCCAGGCCCGGCCTGCGAGGGGGCAGGACGGGGCTGGCTGGTGTCCTGGGCCAGGGGTGGTACCCAGCAGGTGCTCTGTAGGTGTTGAGAGAGTGACATAAGCACTTGAGACCATTTTTTGCTTAGAACGTGTAAAATTTTTCTTCCAAGTCTCGCTGCTAATCTAACCAAACTTTTTACCTTTTTGGCATAAATCGTACAAATGAACGATTCGGAACTTTTTAGTCGACTTCATTATCCAGAGATACAGAGGGAGTCGGGTCGAAAGATACCAGGGCTCGCTGTGTGTGGAACATTATGCACAAAGTAAATAAGAGTCGGGGGACATGAGACGTGGCCGAGTCTGTTATCGGCCATCACTGCACCCTGTGCAGGGCCGTGCAGGCGCCGAGCCCGTGCCGACGGCTCTGTCCTCTCGGCTCTCCGGGTCCGGCGGGGAGAGGGACACTCGGTAAATAACACACAGGCTGACGATCACAACGGTGAAAGCTGCAGAAAGGAAAATTGCAGAGTGTCTTCAGGAAGCGTTGCAAGGGCCCTAATTGACAGGTGGATCAGAAAACCCTCCCCAAAGAAGCGTCGATTCAGTGAAGACTAGAAGCGTGAGTGGCGTCAGCGGACGGGGCGACCCCGTTGAGTGTCAGGCTGGCAAGTGACGTGACTGGGGCGCTGTAGAAGAAACCCTCTGCAGTGTGGCAAACGGGCGGGCCGGCCAGGGCAGAGCGGGAAGGGCCATCCGGAGGCCTTTGGCCTCCCAGGCGGGAGTGGGTGGGCCGTGGCCAACGGAGGTGGTCGAGGCTGCGGGGAGCAGTATGCCGGTTATTCGTCCAGGCACGTGGAGGCCACTTAGTCCCCCCTGCCTGCCTTGTGTCCTCGCAGCTGACCCCCGGCCACAGCGAGGTCTGGCGCTGTTCTCTGCTGATGAAAGCGCGTGCTCGGCAAGTCGAGTTTTCACGTGGGCCGCGCAGCGTCTGCGCTTCGTGCTTCCAGCCCCGGGGAGACGAGCGGCCTGTGGAGTCGCCCTTCGGGAAGGACCAGCAGTGCCCTCGGAGGGCTGGGACGGGAGGCGCTTGGCCTGGCTGGCCGCGGGGGCGTGGGGGAGAGGCGGGACAGCTAGTTAGTGGTGCCTGTGGGGTGCGGTGCTCTTTCTTGGGGCCCCCCTCAGAACTGTATGAGGGGGCCGTTTTTATTGCATTTCATAGGTCAGGAATCTGAGGCCCCAGAATCAGCACGCCCCGATCACCACACAAGTATGTTGGGGGGCGCAAGCCCAGCTGCCCACTGTGGAGGGTGACTAGGCGGTAGACGTGACAACCTGCCAGGCTTGTGGGGAGCGGGAGAGCGCTCATCCGTGATGCCACGGCCACCCCAGGCCTGCGGGAACTGAGAGCCACGCGAGTCGGCGCCCTTAGCAGCGCCAGACGTGGCTGCCCTGGAGGAGTCACAGTCCAGGGAGGAGGGACAGGGACAGACAAGTGGCAGTGTGGAAACTGGCTTTTTAAGCACGGCACCACGTTTGTTTGACAAACGGAAACCTCTGGCTAACATACAGAAACGAAAGTCCGACTTCGTGAAGACGTCCTGGTCTAGAGGCCATTCAGACCCCCTTGCTTTTTATTTAAAAACATTATTTTAGGTGAGAAGAGATTTCAAAGCCCTCCGCCCATCCCACAGTAAAGGGACCTGACTGCTCGTCTTGACGCAGAGGCCGAGGAGGCCTGTGGCAGGAACTGTCTTTAACAGTTGCGTTGGCAGAAAGCGCCTCGTTAACGATGCTCTCTCGTGTGTGACAGGTGTCGGAGATGGCCGAAGATGGGAGCGAGGAGATCATGTTCATCTGTAAGTGGCCCGTGCCCGTCCCCCAACGCGGGCGGTGTGACGCTTGCTGCCTGGGCGAAGCCACGTCCACGTTTCGAGCTTATGTTGGGGAGAGCTCTGTCTTTGTACACTGGAATGATTTTACTTGCTTTGAAGAGCACGATTCGTTACTTGAGCAGTGTGCTGCGGGGATGTGGTTTTAAAAGGCTCATCTTCCTCAGCTCCCAGCAAAGGCCATTTGGAATGGGGTGGCAGTTGATTCAGAAAAGTAATCAAGGGCCCCGAGCTTTACGATACGTCAGATTTATGGTAAACAGGCGAAACGGGTGAATTTTCGTTTATCACCTTTGCTCAGGAAGATCTCGTTCTTTGTCACCCTGGGGTGACTCTGCATGCTTTGAAATGTGCCGTGGAGCTGGATGTGTTTCTTAGGGGCACGTCCTGGGTTTGCACTGTTTTATATTTGTGGGGAGCGTTGCTGGGCAGTCCCATCCGGCAGGGAGCCTCGTGACACCCTTTGGATACCCCACCCCCACCCCCCGCCGTCCACTCTGACTCTGGGATGTCTGTTCGCAGGGTGTGAAGACTGCAGCCAGTACCACGACTCTGAGTGTCCGGAGCTGGGCCCCGTGGTCACGGTCAGAGACTCCTTCGTGTTGAGCAGGGCACGGTGAGCGGCCGCCCCCAGGTGTTTTTACAGCCCTGCCTTACAGCTGTCTGCGAGTCTGCGAGAGCTTGTGGCCTGCACATAAGGGGAGGGGACGGCAAGAGGGGGTGGGCTGTCCTCAGCCTCCAGGGCTGTCCGTGTGTCCGCCCCGAGAACCGAGAGCCTGTCGCCGGAGCCAAGACGTGCTTCGGGGCTTCGGAGTGAACGTCCCGTGTCCAGTTCGTGGCTCTCAGTTGCCAGGCCGAGACCGGCGTGGCCCGGGGACAGCGATGGGCTGGGCTGCCTTCTGGTTGAGGAGCGACGGCCAGCTCGTCGCTGTGCTCTGTGTTTTCCCCGGGGCCCGAATCTGGGCCTGCCGTCCGGCAGATGCCCGCTCTGGGCCAGGTGGCCGCGGTAGGGGGCAGCAGGGAGCGCAGGTAACAAGAAAAAGCCGTGGCAGCTCTGGAGCAGCACCCACAGGTCTGGCGAGGAGGCTCGGTGGCTCTGCCATGTCATGTGGTGGGCAGCAGGGAGCGCAGGTAACAAGGCAAAGCCGTGGCAGCTCTGGAGCAGCCACAGGTCCGGCGAGGAGGCTCGGTGGCTCTGCCATGTCATGTGTCCCCGTAAAGGCCGTGTCACCTGGTGGGCTGGCAAAGGCTGAGTGGCTGGGCCCCAGCCTGGGGCAGACACAGTAGTCGTTTGAGCCTGGAGGAGGCGCTCTTTCCCCTGCAGCTCGGCTGCCTCGTCCGCAGGGCCCCGAAACGTCGTTGCGATCGTCACGTGTGACTGAGCACCCGGCACGTGGAGACCCTAAAATGATCTTACCGGTGCTGCTTCTAGGAGCCTCCCAGCTGGTTTCCCAGCCCCGTGATTTACTTACCTTTTCTGACCGTGACCTTCTTGAAACAGAGATTAATATTTTTGCCTAAAGCAGAGGTCTGAGGGGCTCTCCCTCGAACCTGCAGCGGCTTCCTGTGGCCCACGGCACTCCACTGGGACCATCAGCCCTGCCGTGGGACCCTCCGGGACTGGGACCCTGCCGACGCCTTGGCTCACCCTGGGGTCCCAGCCACGTACCCCTCCTCCAGCGCCCCGTCCCGCCATGCTCCTAGTTTACCTAAAAGGGCCTCATCCGCCCCGAAACTGGCCAGGCCAGCCTAGCTGCGGGCCCGCTCCTGGGATGCTGTGGCTCTTTCTTCCCGTGGAACTTCCTGCGCGGCACCTGGTCTCAGAGCTCTCCGCAGCGCCCCCTCCCCGGGACTGTGTGCCTAGCGGGGGAGCTGTCAGTCCCGTCTCTGGGTAGCGGTGGGGGCCAGCTCCCCGCTCGCCGTGACCTCCCGTCCTCCGGTGCGAGCCTCTCGTTTCGTCCATCTCTAGGTCGTCCCTTCCCTCCAGCTTGGAGATCAGACGCGTGGAGGACGGAGCTGAGGGTGTGTTCGCCGTGACCCAGCTCGTCAAGCGGACGCAGTTTGGCCCCTTTGAGTCGAGGAGAGTCGCCAAGTGGGAGAAGGAATCTGCGTTTCCGCTGAAGGTAAAGGCTGTGCCCGCGGAGCCCTTGCGAGTGCTGCTGGTCCGCGGGCTTGGAAGCAGCTCTAGGTATTGGAGTTCTGCTTAATTTCCAAAAGGATGTTCATTTTTTTTTAGTTCGTTTTTTATACCACAAGAGCATCAAAGTTAGTAGTTAGTAATTCACAGCTTTGCAAAACCTAAGAGGCATTCAAGACGCCACCCTGACTTCCGTCGTGAGCCAGGTTGCTGTCACAGGCTGTAGGAGGTGGGCACTTGGGTGGTTTTGGGCGGGAACGTGTCGGTATAGCTCCGGTCACCTGTGCAGAGTGAGTGGTCCTTTGCAAGCCTCCTTCAAAGGAAGGTGTTTTGTTTGGGCAGTAACGAGACACCAGTACCAAGTTTGGCAGCTTTAAAGAGCACAGCAGACTGGGACAGGACAGTTTTTACGTGAACTTGAGAAAGACCACGTAGCTGTAAGTTGTAGGGAGGGCTTAGTAAGACCCGTGGGAGTCCTAGAACGCCAGGGACTCGGGCGTTGTTCATGGTCTGTCCCCGTGCAAGCCTTCAGAAGCACCGTGAAACGGACACGAGGATCAGGAGCCCAGCACGGGACCAGGCCCCGAGCAAGGCTTCAGAAGCACCGTGAAACGGACACGAGGATCAGGGGCTGGTCGGCTGCAGTCAGCACAGAGGTGCACTTTTCTTAGAGACCCTGACAGACCCACGTTCAGGACAGAGCTGGAAGGCGTGAGCTCAGGGTTTTGGCAGCCCTTGGGAAATCGAGCTTACAGAGCAGGTTTCCACCCCGTGGGGAGCAGGAAAGACACTGATTTGTTTACAGGGAAAGGGAAAAGTGAGGGAGGAGGGCCGTCTGATGCGAAGGAGCAGGATAAAGGGGCCCGACGCCGCGTCCCAGAAAGGCGATCGGCTGCCGTCCTTCACGGGGCGCAGGCCACACGTGGGCTCGGTCACTGTGGGCTGAGACCCAGGGCTTTGTGTCCATCTTGGGTTCTTCCAGTGACTCAGTTCTGAAGGTCTGCATCCAGCCTGAGTTGTTTTCAGCACAGGCTCAGCACTGAGCACCTGTGTGCCCGGGACAGCCTCATGCCCCTTAATGCCCCTCAGAATGGGGTGCAGAGGCCCACTGGGAGCACACTGCCACCACCAGCTGAGGGTCATCAGGCATCTGGTGGCCCCCCTGCCCTCTCCCCCAGCTCCCGAGGGCTCTGTCCTCAGAGGAGGCCTCCGGCATAGCAGCGGGGAGCCCCTGTGGGAAAAGCCCGGGGCGGGAGAAGACTTCTTCCTGCAGCGAGGAGGTACTGACTGCATCAGCGAACGGAACCCCCTGCACTTGTGTGGTTACTTTGAACTTCAAGATGTTTACGGCCCCGCCCCCACCTGCATTTAATTCATAACCACTAGCACCGTGTTGCCCATGAGGGCGGACCGCACAGAGACCGGAAACTTGCTAAAGTCCCTGACCACACTTGGAACAGAGACAGGAGAAGAGCTCAGGTGTCCCGTTGCCCACCTGCGCCAGGTGTAGAGCACAGGTGTCCTGATGCCCACCTGTGCCAGGTGTAGAGCACAGGTGTCCCAGATCCCACAGGGTCCTGATGTGTCTGCCGCTTACCTTCGGCTGTGACCAGCCTGACCCGTCCGAGACCCTTCTGACCACTGCCAGGTCCCCCCAGCCCTGGGTGGAGCGGGATTCAGCCCCCGATGTGGCACCGTCTGGGCCGGCCGTTCAGCACACCCCCGCCCCGCCCCCGCGCGCTGACACGCAGACCTGCGGTAACCAGCCCCTCCTGGCCCCGCGGCGGGCGTGCCCCCCAGGTATTCCAGAAGGACGGGCACCCCGTGTGCTTCGACACCTCTAACGAGGATGACTGCAACTGGATGATGTTGGTGCGGCCGGCGCTGGCGCCCGAGCACCAGAACCTGACGGCCTTCCAGCACGGCAGCGACGTGTACTTCACCACGTCGCGGGACATCCCCCCCGGCACCGAGCTGCGCGTCTGGTACGCCGCCTTCTACGCCAAGAAGATGGACAAGCCCATGCTGAAGCAGGCCTGCCCCGGTGTCCACGGTACGCGCCTGCCTCGCTGTGGGGCGCCGGGCCCCTTGGCCGCGTGTGGGCGAGCCAGCTGCACAGGGTGAGCAGGGTGGGCGGCCTTGACCCCACGCGCCGGGCCTGCTCTGCTCCTCGTAAAGGCGGCTGACAGACGGTGAGCAGAGCTCGCCCTCGCTGGGCCCTCGCTGGGGGGACGTGCACCCCCCAGCTCTACCGCAGTGAACCCCACACCTGGACAGGGAGCTGCCCACAGGGCCCTCCACGCAGCTTATCTGCCAGGTCCTCCGAGGTTGGGTACTGTTCCTGGTTTTGGGCCGAGGACGCGGAGCACAGAGAGAGTGAGGAGCCTGCCCAGGCCACAGTGCACGTGGAGGGCTCTGCCTTCGGGGACATGCTGGCCACCTTGCAGCCACCTCGAGGACTTGAGGTGTGTGCGCATGTGTGCGTGTGAGTGCGAGTATGTGTGTGTGTGCGCGTGTGAGTGCATGCAAGTGCGCGTACATGCATGTGTTTGAGTGTGCACGAGCGTGTGTGGGTATGCGTGTGTGCGCGAGTGCATGACCGTGCGTGTGTGTGAGTGCATGCGTGTGAGTGTGTGTGTGCTTGTGTGTGCATGTGTGTGTGCATGTGTGTGTATGTGTGTATGCGTGCGTGCGTGAGTGCATGAGCGTGCGTGTGTGTGTGAGTGCATGCGTGTGAGTGTGTATGTGTGTGCTTGTGTGCATGTGTGTGTGCATGTGTGTGTATGCATGTGTATACGTGAGTGTGTGTGCGTGAGTGCGTGTGTGTGCGAGTGTGTGTGCGTGTGAGTGCATGCAAGTGTGCGTATGTGCATGTGTTTGAGTGTGCACGAGCGTGTGTGTGTGTGTGTATGCGTGCGTGCGTGAGTGCATGAGTGTGTGTATGCATGTGTGTGCATGTACGTGTGTGCATGTGTATGTGTGCATGCGTGTGTATGTACGTGAGCGTGTGTGCGTGAGTGTGTGTGTGCATGTATGTGTGTGTGAGTGTGTACGCGCGCTCGTTCAGAGAAAGCCCTGACGAAGGTCGTGTGCAGTCGGCCCAAACCCGACGTCCAGTTGGAAGGCCAATCCGAGGGTGCGTCCCGCCGCCAGGTGCAGGCGTCACTTCGTGAGGGGCCCAGTGAGTTACGTCTTCCCCACCCGTGGGCCTTGGGGTGCGGGTCCTGGCCACAATCCCGAGGGACCCCGTGAGAGTGCTGCCACTGGACGTCCTAGCTTGTCAGGGTGGCGCCTCGCTGTGCTCGGCCCAATGCTGTTGGGCACATGGATTCTGTGTGGCCACGAAGATTATTTTCTGTGACGCCCCCGAACGCCAGGATTCTGACGGGCGGGGGGCTTCCTTTCTGTTATGAATGCACCGTGACACGGAACAGCGCTGGGGCCCGCACGGTGCGGAAGGCTCTGTCCTATGTGCTCACGCGGCTGGGGTTTGCGAGCTGCCCAGGGTGGCCGCCCAGCAGCGTGTGACACGGGGCTCTGTGAGGCAGCCCGAATGGGTTGCTGACAGAAATGGGTTGTCTCAGTTCAGGAGGCCAAGGCGTGGGCGGGGCTGCTTCCTTCCGGGGGCTCCGAGGGAGAACCCCGTCCAGCCTGGGTCGCGGCTTGTGCTGCTGCTGACAGCCCTTGGTGTCCCTGGCTTGTGGCCGCGCCGCTCCAATCCCTGCCTGTGTGTTCACCCGCCTCCTCCCTGTTTCTGTGTTCCCTTGTTGTGAGGACACCTGTCACTGGATCTGGGACCCACCCAGATCAGCCTGAGCTCCCCGTCCCTCGATGACATCTGCGGAGGCCCTGCCCAAAACTTTCAGGCAGACCTGAACGTGGGGGCCACTCCTCAGCTCACTGCAGGCCTGGGGGGGGTGCCTTGGGGAGCCCCTGGGAGTGGTCTAATGGCAGTGGACGTTAAAGGACGCTTGGCAGCGGGGGCCTGATCCCTCCACAGAGATCGTCACAAGGGGAGAAACCCCCTATCTTATTTTGATAGTGAAGCAGACAGAATTTGGAGGCTGACAGCTCTCTGAGGCTGCTCTAGCCCCGCCCTCCACGGTTTGTGGAACCAGGCTCCCGAGCTGGCCCCGAGGGGGGCTCCTGCAGCGTCGCCCCACTGCGGCATGGTCAGGCGTCACTCCTCAGCCTGCTGCACTGGCCTTGCTGCCGTCCAAGGTCGCCGAGCTCTTCCTGACTCATGTTCTGTCCCCGATTCCTTACGGCCCGGGTGGCTGCCGCCTCGTGTGCCCTGGGACCAGCCCAGGCGGCACATTGGGATCTGGCTCGTCAGAGGCAGACCTTCAGGCCTCCGAGGCTGGAGACACGGAGTGGTTCCGCTGGAACAACCAGCCAGGCTGAAAGGCATGGTCACTCCCAACAAGTTTTCGAATTGGGAAAATAAGTAAGCAATTTAGGTACTCTAAAATTTTAGAAATACTTGCCGTGGTTTTGTTTTGGGACAAATGGCAGTCGAGTATGGCTTGGCAGCGCAGTGGGAGTTACTGGCTGCCGTTGCCCCGTCGGTGAGTCGGCTCCCTTATTTCCGTTTTCCCGCCGAGCGGTCCTTAACCCCGGGCGGCGCTGCTAGTTCTCGGGTTGGCCTTTCTCCTGGGGTCCGAGGTCACATCTGCCTCCATGCCCCGGGGCCGGCTGGTGAAACTGCGACATGGCAGCTGCACCAGGCCTCCGCACGCTGCTTCCCCTGCCCTGGCCTCCTGCCGGCCCCTTCCCAAAGCCTGTCCTTCCCGAGTGTCCAGAAGCCCCTTCCCGACACAGCGGAGCTTCTGGAGCCTGCTCCAGCCCTGCCTGGCCCAGCGCAGTCTCTGTGTGTCGAACGCGGACCCCGCTGAAACCATTTGCCGGGAGACTGGCACTGCCTGCTGCCTAGAAACCAGAGTCGAGGACGGGACCACCGAGGAGAGGCCTCGACCCACAGAAGCCGGCCCTGCGCATGCTTCTGATGCTCCAGGTCCCACAGGCGGCTGGTGGCCTCAGCTCTCCTCAGCGACAAGGCCTCTTCCTGCGTCTGGACAGTCCGGGAGACCACCACCTCGATGGCAGCAGGAAGGGGGTCATCACCACTCTTTGGCCCAGTGTGGGTGGAGCAGAGCACGGTGAATATTCTAGAAGAGTCGTGCGGGGGACTGACGGACAAGGGGCGGGCTTGCCGTGGGTCCTTCAGTCTTTGCGGTGAGCCCAGACTCCGGCCGTGTAATTCCCTTTCAGACGTGCTTCGAACGTGCGTCTTTCTCGTAGAAATTGGCCCATTTGCACATTGGCCGAGCTGAGCTCTGAATACACAGAAAAGTGGTTTCGACCTGGGGAGCAGTGAGCCGCTCCTTTAAAAAATTACTTTGTTCATATTTTTTTCTAATCCCACTCGTCCCTGAGCTCACGTGGCGTTGGTGGTCTCTCTTTGCGCACACCTGGGCCCGTTGGCGGAGGGTGGGGGAGGCCCACGCGGCGTAACGGGGCTCGTGCGCGGGGTTCGGCATGGCTGTCAGCACCAGACTCTAACAGTGAAAAGGGTAAAATGTACACACATTGCACGACATCGGGGAAAGCATTTGAAGTCACGGAGAAGGTCGCCGTGTCAAACTCGCGCTTTGTGATGCTGCGTTTGAAATCGGCACCGTCGACCTGCGTTTCCGTACGATGAAACTCACCAGATTTAGGGGTGCTGTCGGAGAGCCGCTGCGTGGGCTCCCCACAGTCAGGACGCGGAACGTGCTCCCCGGCGAGCTCTCGCCAGCTGTGCGCCCCGTGCCCTGGGATCCAGCGGGCGCCTTTGCACCCTGCGGCTCTGCCGCGCGTCCTAGAGCCGTGGTCCTAGAGCCGTGCGTTCTCACGGCCCAGGTTTCGGTTCCGTCGCTCGCTTGGAGTTCCCCGCGCACTCTCCGCCTCCCGCCCCGTCGTCCGCGTCTGCGCCGCGGCGGCGTTGCACGGCTGTGGGGCTTGCGTTCTGTGTAGACCCCTCTTTTTTGCCGGATACGTAAGAGATTGCCAATCGAGAATTGCTTTCTGATTGTTGGCCGTTTTTGCTTATCTTTTAAAGATAGTTTTTGGAAAATAGAGCACTGCTCTCGAGAGGACACGACGCGTCTGGTTCGCCCTGGTGACTGAGCATCGGAGCACTGGGCGAGGAAAAGGCTTTCCTGTTGCAGGGCACTTGGAACTCGCATTCAGTGGGGTGGGGACCTTATCACCAGAGATAGCAGCTCATTCGGACAAGACGTTGCCTGACTCACAGGTGTCGGCTTCCGGCCAGCCCGGTCCTCACCCTCCTTTTCCGTCTGGGGCTCTCCTGTGAGGTGCTTCCCCCGGGGGACCACGTGTGTTTGGGACAGCGAGGGAGGGGCTGGGGTTCGTCTCTGACTCCCGTTCGACCCCAGTCCGATATTCTTAAAGCAGCGATTCGCAGAGGGCGCGTGCGCAGAGCAGGGGCCAGCTGGGAGGGGACGGCCCGTCGTCGTACCTGCTTCCCGTGGCGCTTGCTCCCGACAGAAATTTCACGTTGCATCTGTGCGTCTTCCTTGTTATCTTACGAGGACTCAGAAGACGCACGCGAATGCCTGGAACCGGTCGCATCTTTTCTCTCCCAATCGTTGCCTCCTTGTTGCTGGTTTTTGGTACGAGTTCAGTGCATACTTTCTGCCGATAGCGAATGCGTGTGCAGTCACGATGCCAGCTGTTTTTCTCAAAGACCCGGGAGCTTGCTGTGCGAGTGGTCCCTGAGGTGTGGTGACAGGGCGTGCGTGTCCCCATGGGCCGTGGAAGTGGTGCTGAGGGCCGAGCTGGGCGCCTCCCCGCGTCAGGCCCCGCTGCGTCCCCCTCAGCCGGGCGTCCCTGTGTCCCCCTCCTTTAACTCCAGGGGACCTGCACTGAGGGCTGGGCACTGCCCTGGGCAGCAGCCACCTGCCCCGGGCGGCTATTTAAGTCTAAATTCGAATTAAGTAGAATTAAAAATTCAGTTCCTCCGGGGCATTGGTGCATGTGGCCAGCCGGGACAGCACAGTAGGTGTCTGTCACTGCGCAGCGTCCGCCGGACCACACTGGGCTGGAGCCACGGCCACACTGGACTCAGGGCACACTGGCTGGCTGTTTGGGGTCCCACTGTCACTTGCTGTGTGAGCCGATGAGAGACGGAGGAATTCGATTTCATCTCAAGGATGCACTTTTTTCCTGAAGTCGTATGATGTGCCTGTCCCACCGGGCTGGCTTCTTGAAGCAAGTCACGTTCGTGTGACCGGAGTCAGACCCCGCATCAGGCTGCTGCGGCGCCACCTGCCTGTGCTCAGTCTCCTCTCCCGTGAAATGGGGACAGTCACGAGGACCGAATGAGTCCATGCGCCACACTGGGGACAGGGCTCGGAACACTGGAAGTGTGCCTGAGATATGTGCCTGTCCCAGCGGACTGGCTTCTTGAAGCAAGTCACGTTCGTGTGACCGGAGTCAGACCCCGCATCAGGCTGCTGCGGCGCCACCTGCCTGTGCTCAGTCTCCTCTCCCGTGAAATGGGGACAGTCACGAGGACCGAATGAGTCCATGCGCCACACTGGGGACAGGGCTCGGAACACTGGAAGTGTGCGTGAGCTTCCGCTGTTGTCACCGTCAGCTTCGAGGACAGGCGTCTCAAGCTGAGCCTTCACGGGCAGAGGAGCTGCTGGGGTCACCTTTTTCTCCTCTCTTTGGAAGCTGCAGGCACCCCAGAAAGTGGCGCCCCCGCGGAGGCGGAGCCCAGCCAGTGGGCGTGTAAAGTGTGCTCTGCCGCCTTCCTGGAGCTGCAGCCCCTGAATGGTAAGGGGTGTGCCCGGTCGGGTCGGTGTGCCAGGTGTGTGCACTCCTGGGTCGCCCTCGCTCCGCTTTGGGTCCGTTTCAGTCAGGACGCGTGGCTGTCACGATGCTCCCGGCTTCGTGCGCACCTGAGCCGTGTCTCCCGGGCTGCGTGCGTGGGGGACCCGGGCCCTCCGCACGGGGTTTACTCCTTGTCCCGGAGTCCCCTCTGCGTGTGTGGCCCCATGGGCTCGGTCCTCAGCAGAGCCTCACGGTCGGGGGTGAGGGGTCTGTCTCTCATCTGGTCTCGCAAGTGTTTCCAGCCCATCGTTAGCGCGTCCTGCTCTGTGGCCGCCCTGCCCCACCTTCCTGTGACCTGCATCAGGTTGTTCGCTTCCTAATTCTCTGTCCTCATGAGCTCTTTGAGGGCCCTCACCCGGCACAGCGTCCCTAAGTAAGGGACAAATGGAGACACAACAGCCACTTCACACGAATGCCTGTTGGGCCACCGAGGCTCCACAGTGGGAAGAATCAGTCCATGGCCCCAGTGTGACACGGGTGCCTCCCGTCAGTCGAGCGCCTGGTCCCCGTCCTCTCACGGGCCCCCCCTTTGTCCCGCCGGTGCCGGGGATGCAGCTGCTGGGGGCTTGGCCGCTCCTGACCCCTGCGCCGCCGCGGCCCGTCCGCTCTCCGTGCCTCGTCCAGCTGCCTTGTCCGGAGGTCCCTGAGGCGTTCACTTGGAAATAAAGGGGTTTGTTTGTTAATTTTATGCAGTGCTGTTACAGTCAGTTTTGTTTATCATGAGTTGGATAATTCTCACCCCTCTTTCCACGTTCCAGTCTGAGGTCCCTGCGTTGTCTGTTCAGTGGAGGAAAATTAGCAAATACAAATGACCTTAGGGACATCGGCGGCGCCTGGGACGCCGCCGTCTGGAGAGGACCGTGCAGCTAGTGTGCCGAGTCCTCCCGTTTCCTTTGCACACGCGTGTGCACGTGCTTTCCGGTCAGCTTTTACAAAACCGTGTGTGGCGAACCTGCCCTGCTCTTGTCACCTAAATGATTTTTACCCCATTTCCCGTTTGCCCCAAGAATACTCGCCGAGGCGCTTGTGGCTGCAGCGTTTACCCTGAGATAACTCGTGGATCAGTCCTAACCTGACCCCCAAAGTTTGCCACAAAATGTCTCACTTTTATTATTACTTTGGCATTGCTCTCGTATGTTGATGGTCTTTGGCAACAGATAACATCACTCTGTTCATAGCATTCTGTTTTTAGTAGTGGTATTTCCGTTTACAAAATACAGTAACTCTCCTCGCTGCAAACGTCAAATCCTAGAAAACGTCGCGTTCCTACGTGTGCCGGGAACATCGTTCTCTAACGGTCGCCACAGACTCATCCGGTGAATCGGATTTATGTGCACGTTCCTGTTACGTTAGGATTAGAAACCAGTTCTGTTTAGAAATAACTCCAAGAACAGTTTTTAAGTTTTATTTTCACACTGAAAACCAGCAGATTTGCTTCAGCCTCAAAAAGTTCGTTTATGTAAAATTAAAATAACATGGCACTTGTTTTTCTAAACGGGGAATGGGTTCACATAGCAGTCGCGTTTGGTGCAGTGGGATTGCTTTATCAGAAGCAGTGGAGCCAAAGTTTATTTATACTATTAGCAAATGCAATCGAAAGCACACAGCAGGCGGGAGCAGACACATCGCTTCCTGCCGCCCTGTGCATGGCCTCCCTGTCCTGCAGAGCACCTGTTGGGTCACCTGGAACAAACCAAGAGCCTTGCCCCGGCCAGCCAGCACGAAGGGGCTCCCGAGAAGGAGCCAGACGTGTCCCGCGGGGCGTCTCCCTCAGTTCCCAAGAGCGTGGGCACCTCCAAAGAGCAGAAGAAGCCTCGCAGGGGGAGAAAACCCAGGGTGTCCAAACCGGAGCAGCCCCTGGTCGTCATCGAAGGCCAGGAGCCGGCAGGTGAGGGGCGGCAGGTGAGGGGCGGGCCTGGGAGATGAGGGGGGACCCGTGGCCATGTCGCCTGTCACTTCCCACCTCCACGTGGGGCTCGAAAACTCAGCCCACGTGGAGGCAGAATCCAAGCCCGGCTGTTTTTCTGTAAATCAGCTCTTGGGGAAGATTCAATTCACAGGTGATACGATCTGCACTGCAAAGCGTGCAGGCCGTGAGCTTGGACAGGGGAGTCCGCCTGCGTAACCAGCGCCCCGTCGGACAGTGAAGGTGCCGCTCTGCCAGCCACTCCCCTCCCCTCGCGTGGGTCCGTCTCGCCCGCCCTGGGAGTGGCCGTGGTCGGCGCTCCTTGCGTGTCCGGTGTCCCGCACCCGGGATGACTCATCCACGTGGGGCTCCAGCCGCATCGCCTCCACTGCGGCCGAGCAGTGTTGGTCACTGCGAACAGCCCACTGTCCACTCCCTGTCCCCCGTGGGTGGGCGTGCAGCTTGTTTCCGGCCACGGCTGGCACACATTCCCTGATGACACAGTGTCCTCGGCTGAGTTCGGAGGGACGTGGGAGCCACATTCTGGGCGCTTGGCCCGGGTCCTCAGCACCTTCGTCACCACTGAGCGGTTTTGTCTCTGCTGCTCGTGTGTGCCGGGATTCGAGAATCAGAGGGACGGTCTTCACGTGGCAGTCCCAGCTTCAGGGGCGCGGAGAGCTCAGAAGGGGCCATGTCACTTAGCGGTTATTGCAGCAGGAGGATGCCCAGAGGCAGAGTGGAGGACCAGCGCTCAGTGTCTGTCCGGTCTTCCCACGTTCCACGTTCCCACGTTCCACGTTCCACGTCCACAGGTCCAGGCCCGGTCCCCGCCACTGTCATTCCTTGGGACTTAACTCGAGCAGAGCAGTTCTCTGCTTTCGATCACCCTCGAGATAGCCAGTCTGATTAGAAAATTAATTATTTTTGAGTCTTTATCACAACTGATTTAGTAAGCTGTAAGATCCCCGCCATGGATCAAAATGTTTCGGTTTTGGTTGGAATGCAGAGGGATTGAAATAACGTATGACTGCAGTAGTTTTAGAGAAGAATCACAGCTTATGACTAGGGTGTGACTTAAGAACCATTTTGTTTTTCTGTCTACACAGGTAAATATGTGGATTCTGAAACTGCTGGTTTTACTTCCTTTTCCCCTGTGTAAACCTTGCAGTCCGAGTCTCCATCTGCGCCTGGCTGCGGTCCTCTTTGGTGTGTCCTCTTGGTTGGGTTGTGTTCTGTCCTCTGCCCTGGTGATGACACGGTGATGTCCCATCCTGTCCACAGAGCAAGTGGCGGAGATCATCACCGAGGTGCCACCAGACGAGCCTCTGACGGCCGCCCCAGACGAGCGCATCATGGAGCTGGTTTTGGGGAAGCTGGCCACCACCACCAGCGACGCCGGTTCTCTGCAGAAGTACGTCTTGCCACAGCGCCCAGGGCGAAGGCGCCGGTGGCAGTGAGTCCATTCGGGGGCAGGGGCGGGCGCCTCCCTGTAGGAAGGGCTCATGGGGGTCGTCTCTCCTGGAGGGTGAAGGATGGGCTTGAGAAGTGGCAGGAATGTGGTGGACCCAGGAGTTTAATGGCGTGTCCACTATGAAGAGAGTTAGAAAAGTTTTTATTGTGCTAAAACATATGTAGCATGAAATTTGCCATCTTAACCGTTTATCGGCTGAGCACATTCACGTGGCTGTGCAGCCTCATGAGTGTCCCTCTCCAGGACCTCTCCATCTCCCCAGACTGACCTCTGTGCCCATCGCCCGCCCCCGGCCCTGTCCCCACCACCTGCTTTTTGTCCCTGCTGACCTCTGTGAGGAAGCCGGGCCTCCAGGCACCTAAGTGGTCGTTCAGCATGAACCTATTCGCAGCCGGCTGGTGTCCCTGAGCATAGTGTCCTCGAGGCGCATCCGTGCTGCAGACGGCGTCGAGCATCCTTCCGTGTCAAGGCCGGATGCTGTCCCATCACACGCGTAGACCACCTGTGTGTCTTTGTGTCCACAGTGGGCATTGTGTCTCTCTGGCCTGTTAGCTGTTATAAGTAACGCCGCTAAGAGGAAGCAGCTTTGTACTCGGATTTCTGTAAATTTAATGCCTTATTCTTTAACTTTTTGTGAACAAAGAAAATGTTTTTATTTTATTGCTATTCTGGGGTAATTTTTGCCCTGGAGCCGAATAAGCTGAAGAAATTTTAAAAACTCAGTTCAGGGTCTATGGCCGTGCCACCCCGAACGCGCCCAGTCTCATGTGATCTCGGAAGCTCGGCAGGGTCGGGCCTGGTTAGTACTTGGATGGGAGACCACCTAGGAAGACCAGGCGCTGTAGGCGTGAAAAAATTTAAAAAAATAATTAAAAAAAAAAAAAAACAGTTCAGGGGAAATAGGAAACGGAGGAGAGGCCGGTGCACACGTGGTCCTCTGGCCGAAGCGCAGGCCGGGCCGCGGGCCTCTGCGTCCAGGGTCAAGGCGGGAGGGCATGCGGCTGGGGTGCAGAAAGCGCCTGTGCCCTTGCTCGTGCACGGCGCCCGTCCCATGGACGCCCCTGAGCCCGGGTGCCGCCGGGCTCGTCCCTCGTCTCCCATGAAGCCCGGACAGTTCGGAAGGTCTTTCCTCGATGGTGGCAGCCTTGGACTTGCCCCGTGACCCGTCTCCCCCGTCTTACGGCGTTGCTTGTCTAACCGGGCAGGTTCCCCCATCATCAGGGCAGCAGCCTCGCCCTCAAGAGGAGTCTGGTTCTCTCCGGCCGCCACGGCGCCCGGCGGAAGCTCAGGCAGCGGGGGGACCACCGGCGGGCGCACCAGTGCGGCATCTGCAGCAAGGTCTTCCAGAACAGCAGCAACCTGAGCAGGCACGTGCGCTCGCACGGTGAGTCCCGGGGCAGCCAGCGCCCAGCGTCGGCATCTCCAGGGGCCGCCCTGCGCCCCCGCTGGCAGCAGCTCGTGCCCGCGGTGCTGAGTCAGCCGTCTGCTGGTCGCCTCCTAGGTGACAAGCTGTTCAAGTGTGAGGAGTGTGCTAAGCTGTTCAGCCGCAAGGAGAGTCTGAAGCAGCACGTCTCTTACAAGCACAGCCGGAACGAGGTGGGCGGCCCGCGCGGAGCAGTCACAACGGGCGGGGGGAGGGGACAGGAGAGAGCCAGGCGGCCATGGTGGCAGGCCAGGCGCCGACAGGGTGGCGGGGGGCGCCGTGGGCACTGGTGTTGCCGGGTATGGGGTCTCTCCTGGGCACCCGGGCGGGAAGAGTGAATGTCGCTGTCCCCGAGCCAAGCGGGAAACCGGTAGAGAAACACGTAAACCACGCACACGCGGGCGCCGCCACAATGGCCCCCGGGGACCCGGCCACCCCCACTGACGGCCGCCCTCCGCCAGGTGGACGGTGAGTACAGGTTCCGGTGCGGCACCTGTGAGAAGACCTTCCGCATCGAGAGCGCGCTGGAGTTCCACAACTGCCGGACAGGTGAGCGGCCGCCGTGTCGTTCGGGTGCAGTGGCCACCGCCAAGCTGAGGGTGACCGTGGGGGTCACGGCCTCGCCCTCGGCCTCCCTCCATTCGCTCTGCTGCCCTGCGGCCTCTGGCGAGTGCAGGACGCTGAGGGGACCTTGCCGAGTCTCAGGCCTGGCGGCTCGCTTGCTGGTGTTCTCCAGCCAGCACTTTGGGGGCCCCTCATCTCACCCTAAGTGCTGGGTTTGTCCTGGGACCGGGTGAGGAGCGAAGGGGCGTGGTGCCTGGAGGAGCGAGGCCTCTGCCCACTTGGCGGAGGAGGGCCGTCTGGAACCTTAGCTTTCTGCTGCCGGGCAGCAGTCTGGCTCGCCCAGGCCGTTTGTCGTGAGCTTGCTTCTGCCTGCCTGTCGCCACGTGACGTGGAACCTGCTTGGCTTGTGTGTGGTCAGATGCGGGTGTGCTCTGACCATGCTGGGCGCTGCCTCTGGCGACTTCGCAGCTGGCAGGCGCGCGTGACGGAGAAATCCCCAGCACAGCAGGGAGGCAGTGTCACAGGAGCCGCGGTGGGGGGAGCCCCTTCCCCCCAGCACCCCGTCCCGGCCCCCTGCTCTCCCCACGCTCCTGGGTGTTCTCCCTTTCCGGGGAGCCCAGCACACCAGGAGGGCGGGGAGCCCGTCGGCTTAGAGCCCCGCCTGGTTAGCCCTCGGTACCGAGCCCTTTCCTGCTGCACACGCCCCCTCCCCCGCCCCCTGGGCACCTCACTTGCATCTCCGTGCTGGTTCTTGCTCAGCTGGTCTCTAGGGAACCTGAACCTGAACCGGCCACATCTTCGCGGCCCCGCCTCCCGCAGCCAGCGCCCGTCCGCAGCCTCTGTCTTGTCCTTTTGTTTGGTTCTTTTGTTCGCTCGTTCTGCTTTGACGGCTCCTGCCTGAAACCATGGCTTGTGACTTCCATCCCTGGCGGGGCTTTTCCGAGTGGCAGGTTAGTCTTGTTTCACCTGAGCTCCAGCTGCTTTGCAGCGTCCATGTTCATGGCCTGAGGGGCCTCGGGAGCCTTCCGACGAAGGCCGTGTGCTGCAGCACCTGCCTTCTGAGCCCTGCACCCCGGCACCCCCCACACCTGGGGCGGATCCTCCCAGCGGTGTCCAGTGCTGAACTCGCGGAGAGCCGCAGCCGGGGTCGGCGACCAGCGTCAGATGATGCCCCGTGTGGCCGCTCGTGGGCCTGCACGAGTGCAGGGACCAGATGGCAGAGCGGCTGTGGCACCCTGTCCTGTCCTGTCCTGTCGGTGAGGCCGACCTAGGGGCGAGCAGAGACGTCGTCCCCTTTCACTGTTTCTCTGGAGGGGGACGGAGCAGGAGGTAGTGCGTCAGCCGCAGCCGCTCCACAGCTGCGCACAGGCCAGGCCCGCATCCTGGTTACACAAAGTAACGGCGACAGCAGTAGAGAAGCACTTTGTTCTCCTGAGGTGCTCTCGTTCCGGAGGTTGGAAGTCTTGGATGACACACGTGGATGCGGAGCTCGTTCGCTTGCCGTGGCGTTTGCGTGCTTTTACGCTTCGTGTGGTTTTCACGCTGAGAACGTGTCTCAGCAGACAGCTGACGCGGGAGTTTGTGCGACTGGGGGAGCAGCTGGGACGCGCGGTCTGATGGGTGTTTCTCGAGCTTTCCCTCAGCGATGCCTGTCCTGGGCCTGACAGGGTGCTGCTGCAGCTCCTCCGAGTGGTCCCCGTACTGCCCTTGACCGTCGGGCTGCGCTAGCGAACAGCAGAGGGTCAATTCCAGGCCTTTGGGGGAAACAGTGCTCGGGTCCCGTGCAGCCTGGCTTTCCCGGGAACCCCCCGCTCCGTCTGTTCGCCGGGCGACCCCGCGCCCACGCCTCTGCCGGACCCCAAGGACTGGGCGTGTGCTGGTTGCCGCGTTTTAGTGAAACGCAGGTGCTGGCCTCAGGGCAGCAGTGTCGTTGGCGGGAGGTGGTCGTGGGGACCACGCGCTGTCTGCATTCGTGTGGACGCCACAGCAGAGAAGCCACCCGGTGTGAGGGGCTGGTCCCGGACAGCTGTGCTCCAGCTCCCCCACCGGGCAGGGGCTGCAGCTGGGCCGGGAGTAAGGTTAAAGGGATTTGTCACCGCTGGGAGGGACTCGCGAGAGAAAGCGAAAGCCAGGGGCACACCACACCTCCCAGGGTGGCAGGCCCCAGGGCTAGCGGGGCACCTGCCCGGAGGGAGGCTCACCAGGGCAGTGGTTTGGCAGGCCCAGGGTGGGCGGGGTCTTTGTGATTTGATGGAACAGCCCCCTTCGCAAAGCAAGCCGGCAGATGCCCTTGGCTCTGGCGGTCCACCCCTAAGAAGCCTCGCTAAGGGAACGTAGCAGAAAGGAGGAGAAAGCTACATTTCTGAGGATCACAAAATTACCCACGATTTCAAAAGTAACGAAGTAAATAGTGTAATGGAACTCGGTGGAACGTCACAAAGCCACGAAGCCACGAAGCCACGAAGGGCGGCATGAGCACATCGTGTAACGAAGACACGTCCTGCACACGTGTGGACGCATGGACGGGGTCATGTGGGTGCATCTGAGCTGCATGTCGGGGTCACCTGAGCACTACCGAGGCCTGAGCTCCCCGGGACATTTTGGTCACAAGTGGCTGTGTTTGGGGTGGGGTGTTACTGGCCTGATGGGTGGGGAACAGGGTTCTGCAGAACACCCACAGTGCGCAGGATGGCCCCACAGACACAGGTCTGGCTGAGACCCTGGACACAAGGGGTCCTTGCACGCACCCCAGGGGTTCTGTTGTGCAGCAGAGTCATAGAAACGGCAGGTTTGCGTGCGGCCTCAGGCATTTGTGAGCTTGGCAAACTCCTGGCCGGGAGCCGGGCCAGTGGGCTGGAGTCCAGGGCCCAGAAACGAGACCCGGTGTGTCCCGAGGCCCTCGCTGTGCAGGGGGATGCACACTGTGACCCACACTGTTGTGCCCACCTGCACGGGGACACGGGAAGAGTTCTGGGGTTCCACTGCAGGGCAGCTGTGGGCAGCGTGGACTGCCTTCTGGGGCTTGTGTAGGTGACACGTGTCCTGGCAGGAGCAAAGTGGGCGTGGAGGCGGAGGGGTACGGGAGGGGAGAAGGAAGATGATGGGGGTGAGGGGCGGGGCAGGGGACAAACAGGCCAGCACTGGCCTCTGGCTTGGGGCGAGGCCCTGAGACCCCCTGAACCAAGGGGAGAGGCCGGGGGTTCGGGCGGAGACCGGCAGCTGGAGCGGTGCCGACGCTGTGCGGGACGTCCTGGGCACCTGGAGGGAGGGCGGGGTGGGGACTGTGGGGCCGGGCAGAGCAGGTGGGTTCCCTGCGAGGGATCAGTGAGTGCCTGGGAGGTAGAGGTGCGGGGGGCAGAAGGAGGAACCCCGTGCTTGCTTCTCGTGGTGAGAACAAGCCGCTCCAGCTGGTGCTTGGGCCGAAGCTACCACAGTGCAGGTGACGCTGCTTTCTCCGCGTGGCCCCCGGTGCCGTTCCCGCGGCCACGGTGTGCAGCCCGCATCCACCGCCACTTACCCGCGAGTCGCTGTGTGTTTGCTTGTTTCCTGGACAGACGACAAGACCTTCCAGTGCGAGATGTGTTTCAGATTCTTCTCCACCAACAGTAACCTTTCCAAGCACAAGAAGAAGCACGGGGACAAGAAGTTCGCCTGCGAAGTCTGCAACAAGATGTTCTACCGCAAGGACGTCATGCTGGACCACCAGCGGAGGCACCTGGAAGGTGAGCGCAGCTGCCTGCGGGAGGAGCCCCGGGGGGCGGGCGCTGTCCGGGAGCTCAGCTCAGGCCCAGCCTGCGGATCAGTGCTGCGGACAGTCGGGAACGCCCTGTGTCCCAGCGGGGAAAGTTAAGGAAGCCAGAGTCTTTACAGCGGTAACCGTCACGCAGGCATCAAAAGCCTTTTTTCTCAGAGTTGTCTAACATCACGAGAAGGTGCTCTCGCTGCGACAGAGCAGGCGGGGAGGGTGTGAGATCGCGCAGGGGTGCACAGTGCTCGCTGTGACAGAGCAGGCAGTGAGGGTGCGTGATCCAGGGGTGCGCGTCCAGCTGTGCGCGTGGAGCAGAGCGCTCCGGGCTGGTGCTTTGCCTGCTGTTTCCAAGGCCACGCCATTTGCGACAGGCTTGGGCACGGGCGCTGCCCGTCCACGTGATGGGTCTCAGAGGTCAGGGGCAAGAGCAAGATGGACTTCAGTGCCGCCAGCGGCGGGGTGAGAGCTGTGACAGGACTGGAAGTGAGGTGTGGGGCAGACCCCGTGCTGTGCTGGCAGCACCCAGGGGGGACGGCGCGGGCACTAAGCACGGGGGCACCGGGAGCACCTGGGCCGCAGAGCACCGATGAGCCCCTGGGGAGGCTCCCTTCACCTGCTCAGTCACGCCCGCCCTAAAGCAGCATTTTCGTGTTGGGAATCCTGCCTTTTACCCTAAAAGCCACTGCTCTCTTGCTGACAGCTGTCATTCAGTGAGCAAAGTACCTTTCTGTAAAAGTTTGAAAACATCACTTTCTAAAGAATTGCAAGCGAAGCAGTGAGGTTACCAGTTAACCTCGTTCGCTTCTGCGCTTTAAGGGAAGCCACAGCTAAGACACTGGTTTTACCGTGGCCGGTGACTGCTGGTGACGTTACTTGAGGACCTGCTGGGGGGAAAAGTCAGAAAACAAAGTTGTGCGCAAAGCCTGGCTGTGCCCCACACGTGTGTGTGCACACGTGGCGCGTGGCGCTCTCCGCTGCTTCCTCTGGTCAGCTGGGAGGGGCGCACAGGGCCTCACGAGCCCACTGGCGACCGGGTGGCCTGGGGCGCGCTGCCGAGCCTCAGCACCCTCACCCTGCTGTGCCCTTCGGCCGGCCGGCCGTGCAACCAGACCCTGCTCGAAAGTCCCCGGCGGGGCCTGGACCTGGCTTTCGTTTTGCAGCTGTATCTTGCGTTTTGCCACTGACACGCGGCTCAGACCGTTTCCTGCCGGCACGCGTGAATGCTGCCACGCCGTTTCGTGGTTTCCCCTCACGCCGCAGCGTGGCGTAAGCCCCGCCCAGACCTGGTGCACTGGGCTCCGGGGGCCCTGCAGAGCCACATCTTTGTCCCCTGCCCAGCCTTCTGGGTGTTCCTTCGGACCCCACGTTCGCTCCGTGTTACGCAGGGTGCTCCAGAGCAGGTCGGCTGTGTAGAAAGATCCCGGGACGAGGACGACGTCTCTCTTCTGTTCTCAGATAACGTATTTCACGCAAACTTCTAAACGTCTGTTTTGATCTCAATCATGAGCAGTTATGCCTCGTAACCACAAAGATTTATCATCATCTGACTTTGCACCTTGCTCCTGATCCAACTGATTTAATTTACAGGATGACCATTAGCTTCCTTTCCATAAAAACACCCGCCTACATGAAGCCGTCCCCCAGACACCTTCGCTAGCAGAAGCTCCTTGTCCCTTGTCCGCGTCGCAAACGGAGAGCACGCACCGCCCTCACGTTTCCCGAGGGAGCGGATGCGAGCGCCACGTCACCGGTGGGCGCGTGCAGAGCATCCCCTCCTCTCCCCGGGGCCCGTGTCGGCGCCGATGCCCGCGCATGCCCACACGAGGCCTCCGGCCACTCACTGTCCCCCGCCGTGGGCACCTGCCCCCTTCCGCTGGAAGGAAGGTTGGGCCGGCGCACAGCGGCCGTGCGCACTCACTCTCTCGCTGGGCGGGTGGGGATTTCAGGGGTCAGGCGGGTGAAGAGAGAAGACCTGGAGGCCAGCGGCGAGAACCTGGTCCGCTACAAGAAGGAGCCGTCGGGCTGCCCCGTGTGTGGCAAGGTAACACCCCACGCCCCGTCCTGGGTCTGAAACACGAAGCATGGCGTTCCCTTAAGCTAGAGCTCAGCTCTGCCTGCCGAGTATCTGGGGGGACGGTTCAGGGTGAAGCGGATATCTGGGTTGCCAGCTTCCGTGTCCACTCGTTGGTACCTGTGTCATTTTGGTCTCTCTTGCTGTCGAGCTCGGTCTCCAGTGAATGACCTTAGAAATAAGTGTTTCTCCTTTAGAGCCGTTTCCTCTTCCGCCACGTTTTCCTCCTGCATGCTCCCCACGCCCACGCTGTGTGCCCTGCTCGTTGGCGTCTCTGAGACCTGTCCTGGGCCAGAGACCAGGGTGAGGGCCCCAGGGAAGTGGGGGGTTGGGACTTTATTCTGCCCGATGGTGCCGGTCTCCCCTGTGGCATTTCCGAGTGACAGGGCCGAGAACCCCAAGGCTACGGTGCTCCCTGAGTGAAATGTGACATCACCTTTCTGAGCAAATCCACCCCAGGTGTGTCCGAGCTGGCAGTGAGGCCAACTCTAGCAGAGCCACTGGCCCCTAACTGTCCAGAAGTGCCCTGGGAGTCAGGGGGAGCCCCAGGCCCTATCTGGCGGTGCATGTCGGGGTCTGCACAGTGCCAGGCCCGTCTGGGTGCCACAGAGACGGGCGGTGTTCTTTGCAAACGCACTCTGGGGTCTTGTGGCCTCCTAGACTCACCTCCCAAGACTGGGGAGTGTGTGAAAGTCAGCTGTGTCCCCAGGACCAGACTCGTGTCCCTCGTGGTATGCTGAGCACGTGCTGTGGACAGAGTCCCCAGAAGGGCTCCCAGGGGGGCACCGCGCCACCTTGAGGTGGGGATTTTAAGCACCAGCCATGTGCGGTCCCCGTGAGCCGCCTGGCACTGGGCCCCAGGAGCCACGGTAAATCCTCAGCAGCCACCAGGCTCGGATGTGGAGAAACGATGGCCGCAGGTGGCTGGCCAGGGTGACTTGGCCAGCTGCTGCCATGTCGCCACGTGACTAGATTCTTTTGACCGTTCCGAGCGAAAGTGGAAATCCGTTTCTGTGGTGGTGGCGTGCGAGGCGGAGCCCGCTGTCCGTGAAGGCGTCTCCGTGTCCGGGTCTTCTGCCCACAGGTGTTCTCCTGCAGGAGCAACATGAACAAGCACCTGCTGACGCACGGGGACAAGAAGTACACCTGCGAGATCTGCGGCCGCAAGTTCTTCCGCGTGGACGTGCTCAGGGACCACATCCACGTCCACTTCAAGGTGCTGGCTGGCGTCGCCCTCCTTGGGTGGCTCCCACGGGCCGGCAGTGTCCCGACCCTGGTCACCTTGGCCACGCTGCCTCTCCCCACATGAGTCCTTGTGACTTTGCTGCGGCCCAGCGGAAGGGGTGCCATTAAGATGTCAGCACGCCGGGTCCCTCCGGGAGCGAGAACGGGGTGGGAGGGTGGTGTGTGTTTCCCTCCCTGCCTTGGAGGAAAGGGAGGAGGTGGGGGGACCTGGGGGTTGCGGGGACTCAGGCCACCATTAAGGGCGGGAGACGCGCCTGTCCAGGGCACACAAGACACCGTGGGTGGTGCTGGGGCCCAGGGCAGCTGGGAGCGCACACCCTGGGGAGGCCCGCAGCCCTGGGCGCTGTTGGGATTGCGCTGGCCCAGGGCAGAGAAGGCGGGGCGGGGCGGGGTGTGGGAGGCTCCCCGGTGCAGGTGTTGAGCTGGGGTGGAAGGGCGAGCCCAAGGGGGCAGAGAGCCTCCGACGGGGACCAAGACCACTGGGACCTGGGGGCACTAGTCCTGCTGCCCTTCTGAGCCTCCACGTCTCTGTCTAGAACAGGAGCCCCGGTGCCGGCCACAGAGTGGGCT